AACTAATGTCCAGTTACTACGAGAGCTAAATTTTTTGTGAAGTTTTTGGTAAGCGATTCTAGTGACTTTGTTTACGTAGTTTATTTTCAGGTCTGAGTGTAGGGTTTTGTTACTAACATACCAGGGGRATCTTGTWATAGTGCAAAAGCAGATGGATTGGAATGATTGCATTATTTGAATGGTAATTGCGGAACGGCATTACCCCAAATTTGTATACCATAATACCAAAGGGGAAAGATAAACATTTTGTGAATAAGGATTTTGAGTTTCAAGTTTAATTTTGATCGTAAGAGAGGACATAGTAAATGTAATCTGGGGTTAAGTTTTTTTCTTTTGTCGATTATGTGGTCTTTCCAAGTTAATCGTTTGTCGAAAATGAGCCCTATGTATTTAACTTGGTTGGTTTGAGGTAATACTCGTAATTGGTTGCAAAGTTTGACTGGTGAACAGTTGTTTGGGTGAAGGGAGAAAGTAATGTGGCTAGATTATTTGTTTGTATTAATTTTTATTTTCTATAATGTGAACCAATTTTCGAGTAAGTTGAGGTGGTGTTGAAGTTTGAAGCTAGTTACTGTGGGATCGGAATTGGAGGCTAAGATAAAAGTGTCGTCGACAAAAGTATGGAGAATAGTGAAAGAGGATGTAGGTATTCTGCAATGTATATTAGATACAAAAGATGAGAAAAGTCGCTGCCTTGGGGTACACCGGTGTTAATCATAAATTTGTTTGAAATTAAGTTGTTTAAATTTACTTGGAAAGAACGCTGACTGAGATAAGATTTGAGTATTAAATAATATGGGGTTGGAAAGTTTGTTTTTAGTTTGAAGAGAAGTCCATTGTGCCATATTTTGTCAAATGCTTGGGTGACGTCTAGGAAGACACCCGAGCATTATTTTTGTCGTTCTAGAGATGATGAGATGGCATCAGTGAGATGATGTATTAGAGGGTGGATAGTAGAATGACCAGCTTAGAAGCCATACCGAGAGTTAGGAATGATTTTATTTATTTCAGAGATATGTTGAAGGCGTTTTAATAGAAGTTTTTCAAATAATTTTCCAAGGGATGGAAGGAGGCTGATTGGACGGTATGAAGATATTATATTTTTGTGTTTACCTGGTTTGTGTACTAGTATGATTGTTGACATTTTCCAGAGTGGTGGGAAATAAGAAAGTCTAAGAATTGCATTGAAGATGTGATTTATGTTGAGAATTGCTTTATTTGTAAGTTGTTTAAGTATATTATTCGTAATGAAATCGTATCCTAGAGCTTTTCCATTTTTTAATTTATTGTTTGTATATTTTATTTTGTTAGGAGTGAAGTGTTTAGGTGGTGGATAAGTGGGTAGAGCGTTGTTTAATGATTGTTTAGCGTTGATTTTATTTAAATGGTTAATAGGTGTGTTAATATTGTTGGGTTTAAATACTTCATAGAAATATTCGGAAAAGGTGTTAGATTTTTCTATGTCGGACATGGCTAGCTTGTTATTGGGTAGTTTAATTGGCGGGAAAAGTTCTTTGAGTTTTAATATGTTTTTCGTTTTACGCCAGAGAAAGCCGTTGGTTGAATGAAGTTTGGTGATATTATTTTCGTATCGTTCGGTATTAATTTTATAAAATTCTTTTTTCAATCTGTTAGAAATAGAGTTTAGTGTAAGTTTATCCAGAGAGTGTCTAATTAATTTCCATTTGGCTCTAGCTCTTCTTTTTTGGGCTAGTATTTCTTTAAGGATTTTTTGGATATTATTAGATTTAGTAGATTTTGTAGGGCTGGACGGGGAATCTGAAACTGAGCTTTGTTATTTGTTAGTTTGAGAGTTGCTACTTCGATATCGTACGTGTTTTTTAGTGGTATTTTTAGAATTTATTGTTTTGTTATCTAAGATATCTTTAAATTTTGTTCAGGATATGGGACCTCTAACTAGGTTTGGTTTGTCATTGGTGAGGGTAGTTGCATTTAAAGATAGTAACACAGCTGAATGATCAAAACAAAGTTCATTTATAATTGATCATAATAATTGATAAATAATAATAATATGACCTAAAGCTACAATAATAAATTGAAGGAAAAATATTTAAGTATACAACAGTCGTGTTATTTACAAATTATTTAGAAATATGCTAATGTTTTTAATTAGTTTGATCCACGATATGACAAAACGTGCAATTAAATTTAAATCCCTCTTATACGCAAATGTTTYAGATTATATTTTTATCTTAGTCAKTGATTTACATTGTATCCATCACTGAAAAATGTAAATCATCGTCATCAGTCATTGCAAACTACAAGTCTACAACCATCTATTATYTACGATACAGTATAGAGGCTACAGCTGTTAATAACTGTGTGATTATAGATAATACAATACTATAATAATATCATAATACAAATATACTACTGCTCATAGTTATTACATATTTTGTGTTATTCGATATTTCATTGAAATTAATAATGAAGTTGAAAACAATGAAATGTATTTATTTTGTATTGGWWTAATATAATGTATGTTTAACAAAATAATTAGTTTTTCGATTGATATCGGTTAAACAATGACTAARAAGTATAAAAGCATGATATTTTTTAAAGAATTTCTCCACATTATTTACTATAATATATCATAGCATGTATAGGTATTGTAACTAAAAATATATGGAATTGAATTTATTTATATAAGCTATAACGCATTCATATAATATATATATTTATCTATCTAGTGTCTAGTATTGATACACAAATATGTAATCAAATCTAAGTATAGTTTTTTTTTAAATTCTACTTGCAACTATATAAGAAATATTTAATGTATGAAGTCTACTTTTGGTTAGACTTTTGATATTAGAAATAAAATTAATCACTAAAATCAAGTTCCTGTACCTTTTGTCTACAAGAGCAACATTCGAACTCATTGAAATTTTCATCTAATTTTTCGATAAAACAACTCACGGACATATTCCCCTAAAAGAAAAACAAAACAAAACAAGACAAACATTCATAAAAAAAAGATGTCACGTAAAAAACCAAATAAATCTGCAGCGAGCGTAAAAAGGTTGTTTTCTATGTTCATCCAGGATGGTATTGACAACATTTTGAAATGTGCCTTCAAAAGGTTAATAATTATAATCACATAGTTTTAATGAGCAAATCCAAGACCAGAATCACATTCATATAAGTACTTTGGTACACATAGCGATTATCATTCATAAGGGAATCAAGAATTAAATAGGTCCTACACAGATTTTAAAACACAAGTCAAAGGTCATATTATTTAAATGAATTTTTAGGTGACTCTTTTCGTTTACACCCCTCTTAGTCTTTTTCATGTAATGATTTATATATAAAAAAAAAAATTATGATAATAATAAATGATACAGTTTCCGAGTTCAAATAATTTGTTTACGAATTGTGTAAGAAGATTTATTTTTTTATAGTGTTTGTTATTTGAGCAATTATTCTCTTTGAGTGAAATATTCTATCTATATTTATTTTTGGATTTATGTATAAATATTTGAATATTAATGTATGCAGTGAATTTCAAATACACACAATTTGCATATATTTTGATCACTTGAGTGCTATATAATTGTATTATTTTAATGTTTTATGTATAATTTCGATTAASAATTTTAAAAATTTAAATCGTTACAAAATCTCTATATTTTTCCTAAGTATATAATATGATATTATTATATTAAAATACTAAAATTAACAAAATGTTTTAGGTAGGTTTATTTCATAGTTTTATTATAATTCTTTTTAAAAAACTTCATTCTGTTTATTAGCATATGTACTCGTATTTTCTTGATAAGTATATATGTATATACAAATACAATTATTATGTATTGAATTTATTTCCCAAAAATAAGTTTTATATAAATGAACGAGTTTAATCCATGTTTCGTGTTTATGTTCTTTTTAAATAGGYTTATTAAAAACATGCAAGTTGGCTTATCTGTTATTTTGTATCGCGAAACTTWACGTGGTGAAGTGGAGTAAAATAATTTTACTTTTAGTTCGCTTTAGATCATAATATGTAAAAATATTTTTAATTTTTAACTAACTACTATAGACTTGTGAACAAAACAGAAGGTAATTTTGTTTAGTAAATATTTTATATCAATAACCTCAATATTTATTTTAATCAGTATAAAAAATCCAGAATTGTCATATGTAAGTACCTAATGATCACAATATTGTCTACAAATATACATCGTACGAATATTATGTATCCCAATTTCTTCATACAAAATAGTAAATTATTAGGTGTTATGTTTGTTTTGTAGTTATACTAGAATATTGAATAGGAACTAGTTTGTATTTAGTTTATTAATTAATTAAGCTTATTTTTTACTTGATTAGGTATACATAGTTTTCATTATATAGTTATACATGATRAAAATTTAAGATTGTAAATTATTTTAGAAATTTTAAATGTAACAATTATTTATCTGTCGAATCAGATTCCTTGATTTCATAATGCATTGTTATATAAATTATAATGATTTTCTGTTCAACTTCTATCAGAAAAATAGACGTTAGAGCCAATGATTCGGGTCAAAGACGTTTTGGTCTGGATTAGTTGAAAATATTTACAAACTCTTGATTATTTCTTAGTATTTTCAATATTTTATCTTAAACAAAGTTCAGAAAAACTAAAAATATAAATTCGACCAAAATAAATAAAAACTGTTTCAAAATGTGATATAAATAATAAATTACGCATACCTACGCCGAATATCTACCTACATAAAAATCATATTAAGCCATACAAAATCATTTTATTTGGAAAGTTGGGTTTCATTTTACAAGTTCGTTGAAATATAATTTAAGGAAATTACTTTATGGGTGAATAAAGTCTCGTGATATATAAAACAATGTGTWTAAGTTATTGAGTCTGATTGATCGAAGGAGAATTATTACCTCATAAGTTATGACTTTATGAGAATATAAATAATCTAATGTGGTCAGTATAACTAACGGAATTAGAGTGAAGAAAAAATAATCGAGTTTAAATAAAACAGACAGTCAACCGCATAATCTCCCGAGTCAAGTGTCTGTCATTTTATTTTATCTTTAAATTTTAATCATCTTACTTAAAAATTAAGAGCGTTCAAGTGAATGCAACGATGGGTACTCGTAAAGTTTGAACGGTGGTGCTATTGAAATTCTTATATCCGACCACAACGAAAGTCGCTATATAATTGCGGTTTCAAAAATCAGTACCAAGKTWTATTAAATTGTGGTGAAGATAATGAGTTATTTATTACTWATCGATTTGTATCGTAAAATCTCTGGAAATATCGGYGTGTAAGCGAATAGTGTGAGTGTGGAGATAGAAAAGTAAAAGTGGCTGATTGCTTATATAATTGTTCAGACCAATTATTGATCGGAATTTTATTTATTAAACGTATTCACAGTTCACACTATAATAATATTGTCCCAAACAGAGCGTTAACCCGAACGCGTATAAAAAGAAATTTAGACGGAGTGCCGAAAAGTATTCAATTAGGGATTCCAACCAATTTTGTTTTAAATTTTGATTGATCGTTTTGTGGAATAAAAGGCAATTGTTTTTTAGCGATATCGCTCGTATAGTAATAGTAGAGTAGGAAATTTGAGTAGTAATTTCAACAATATTTTGTGTGCGGYAAGGGCGGGAAATGAGGTATTTCCGTCTCATGCGATGGCCGCCCAAGACTGAAATTGCCTTCCCGCACGAGCCATAGATACTATTTTTTTTATTTTTTTTTTGTCACGCCTCTCTGTTCATCGATCACGGCAAACTTATAGTAATGCAAGGATCTATACAATGACCAGACTATTATACAAAAACAATTTCATGAATGAAAAATGTTTACGCGTCATGCAAGGAGGTTATAACTTATAACATGAATATATAAGATGTAATCAAAAGTTTATGTTTTGAAAGGACCGTGGTGTAGAATTTAGTGCCTGGTTGCGCAGGCGTGATACTTTTTGGGGATTTCCGCTTAACCACTCGGTACATTTTGGAGATTTCCACTCAACCATCCGGCAATCTGGGAATACTCWTCAGTTCACCGTCATCGAAAACTAAACTTTCGTCGCAGGCGTGACAAAAAAGATGTATTTCATACAATATTTTAGGCTTTAGTGTACCAAACATGAATTATAGTAACAATTTGTAATACACTCAGGAATATTTCGGAACATAATATTATAATATCGATGTCTAATAATTGAAAAATCAAAAATTTAATTTTGAGTCGTGGCTGGGTACACCACCGCAGGAATGCACCTGCAGTATACGGCGTACGTTCGGCCGCMCGTACTTACCGAGCTCTCGAACGGTTTCCCAAACGAATTGGCGTTTTGTTCCGGATTGTCGATGTCCAACAGCGTCTGAGGTTCCGGTTTGGCGGTCACGGCACCCCGCGCCGGTGCCGGGTTCAACGGGACCGTCTCGCTGCCGCTGCTCATCCCGTCGTACTGCGAATAATTGCTGCCAACTGTTTGGGACACACACTTATGTATAGTTTTTCGTCAAGAGTTTCACGGGTTCGCATTAGCCTAATGCTATAAAGCGCCGAACGTTAATGTGCAATATACGTATATATAACATTATAATTATACACGTTCGACGCACGATTTATCCTTATCTTGCAGGCAGTATAAAGAATGCGATGGATTTTCTAACGATAAAATTCTGGTCGAACTTGAATATATTTTTTTAATATACGCGTTTTTTCCCTTACCTACTAGCCCTGAAGGATCATAGGTGGGAATTTTATATTGTTTTTTTTTGTGTGGGGGGGAGGGCTATGCTATTTAAAAATACTTTATTGCATATCGAAGTCTTTCTCTGTGCTTTTAAAACTCATCTTACATTCTTACCTTAAGCTCCTAGCAAAACTATGTGTGATTTATTTTAGACATCTTATATAGTTATATCCAGTAATATGTTTGTGTATTAGGTATACTATTAGCATATTTTGTGAACTATGACTTCAAAATGATAAGAAAGATTGGTAAATGAAAACTTTGTTAATCAATGATTTTTTTTGTATTTGTTCTTATTTTTATTTACCMTCCAACTATATTATTTTAAATTGAAGTTACTTTACTATTCATTATTTATAGTATAGTGATCAGTAACCACTTAGTATGTTTGAGGGGGATGAGGGTGATTTCTCTTTTTGTTTGATTTGAGAGTTTAGCCCTCTTAAGTCTCTCTCGATTTCTGCCTTTGTGCATGATACTTGTATGTTCTAACAAATTTCAATTTTAGTTCGAAAGAAATTTCCAACTGCGTGTTTTTATTAGTGTTCTAAATTTTGTATGCACCGAGCGCGTCGAAGCTAACATCGTAAAAATTGAAAAACATGAGCGTTTAAACGCAAGCGTTAACGATTTGCATATCATGACGGTTTTCRTGCAGGCGTTGAAATCGTATCAAGAGTACAAACGAAAACCTAACGTTTCGAAAAGTATGTAGGTAGACGCGATTATTGATCTTYTGATAACATTTTGGCGATCGGTCACTGGGTAAATTCTTTTTAGTTATACGATATTTTTGAAAACGTTAAATTAGGTATAYGAATTTCTTAAGATCGTTGTTTTCTCTAACACTTCACAGCAGATTTTTTAGAACGAACATAAATTAAATTGGTTTTTTTTCATATTATAAATCTGTTCACCAGTTTACCTATACCAGATATTAAGTTGATATGTAATACTTAAAGGTTATCTAACTACATTGAATCTAGGGAAACATATCTAAGTAAAATTTAATCAAGATTAAAATATTCAGGGATTAAATAACAAATRTATATAGGACAGAATATCCGAGTAAAAAAATAATTTAAAAGGTGAATAGGTATTAATAAAAATTACATAATTTTTTAATTAGATACGTTGTTAATTTTTAAATCACATTTTGAAAACATGAAAGAATATAACAATGAAATAATAATAATATTTTGCTAACTAAATTTCATTAATTAATAAATATATCATTAGTTATTGGTACATTAAATCGTAGGTTATATATTAATTAATGAATATATAAAGGTATTTATATTTTTTAATATTTAAATAGATATAGTCAGTTCAAATTAATAATAAAATATTTTTGTTGTGAAACATTTTTTTTAAAACATGAATATATAAGACAAAATGTAAAGTAGGTATTTTTATTTTTTTATTTTTTATTGATCTAAAGCCCGGCGACTATAAGACCATTAGCTATACATAGGCCATTGGGTATGGGATGGTACGGTAGGGGTTATATTTGTGTATTKAGTTTGTAGTTTTCTTAAGTGGGTAAGGTTGTAACACGTGTTCGTGTATGTGTGGCAAGGATATGTTGCTAAAAATTCCGGGTGGTCACCCATCTGGGAGCTAGCAACTGCGGACGATACTTACACTCAGTGCGTTTCCACAGATTAAGCGTACGACCGCGCCTCACCAAGCCACAAAGTAGGTATTAATATTAGTATAATAATTATTATTTACTACAACAAACTACTAAGTAGTAAATAAACTAATAYACTGTATTTTTTACTACAATTTAAAAAATATCTGGTTATGTTTTTATTAATAAATATATAATTTTATTTATAWATCTATTTTTTAACAGGGTTTTAAAATATTATTTTAGTATATGATATTTTATGTCCCAATAAAATGTACCTATAATACACAGATTATGCATTTTCACCCCTAATATCATTCTATATTGAACATATAAATAATTTACTACGAATATACATATTGCAAGATTAAAATAATATGCATAATCGAAACATTGTTATCTAATATATTATCATATATAGATACATATTCTAAGATCATAATCATCTGAGTCATTCACCTAATTAAAACTTAGAGAAATATATATAGACGTTTATTGTGGTTAAAACTTTGACATTTCGCTCAACGCAATAGACAGACCTATTGCCTATATATAAAAATATAGTATAATATACTTAATATATATAATGTGAAAAAAATTAACGAAATCGTCACATCGGAAACAGATCGCGAAGTCAACTATAAAATACTTAACGTACCTATGCACAAAAGTGAAACGAACTTACCGTGTGATCTTAGCGAATTCTGCTTGGACAGCTTCGGCACGTCGCTCTCTGAAAATCAACTTGAGTTATTTACACGTGTTTCGTATACATGTAATATTTATGTTTTTTTCTCATACCAGTAATATAATATGGTTATCATTATATTGTATTACAATATATAAATAGTTGCGACGCGTTTCCATAATATAATAATATTATGTGATGTAAGAATACGCTCGGCAATGGTGAATATAAATAATATTATTATCATAGATATTAGATTATACAACATCGAATGGTGTGTATTTAGCAGCTGGTACATAAAAAATACGCAAAAAGAACGCAAGAAGGCCGTGCATGTTTATAATATTATGAATGATATAATAATGCACGATATGTATATAGATATATAGTGTACCAGCTATAGTATAACACGAAAATCACAGGACAGGGATAATGTAATAGGGAAAAGATAGCCCCAGGATTTTGTGACATATTACATATTATATTATACAGGTATAATATCAGGATTATTAGAGTTTAACGTCATAAGACTTTCATGTTTCGTAACGTAAAATTTGCAGGATGATCTTTTTGTACAATCCATTCGCACACGCACATTTACATAATATAGGAGTGATTTTTCTTCGTATTGAATGCCTATTTTGCTGTTCTTTCATTTAGAATGAACATTTACYATACTGAAATAATATGACTCATGGAATACCTGCTATWATCATTATTAATTTCGTTTTCAGTATTGGTCGTTGATTATGATTTTACCACTTTCAATCAAACTATAAATAACTTTGTACATCGGAATTTCAGCTAAATATGCAGTTGTTTGCGTACTTGTACCTATAACCATCACGATCTGACATTGCTACCATCATCAGTAGAATATTATTCAAACGAACTGTTCGGAATAATGGAGTGAAAAACACCAGAGGAGTGCAACTGTGACACTCCTTCGGCTGGACTTCAAAAAAAAAAAACAACAATTATGCGGTTCAGTGATCAATGGAAAAATAAGGACTGTCGTCGAACGAAAGTGATGGACGAAGAAAAATCATTCCGCACACGTTTACATCTCACAGAGTGATGTCACTCTATCGATACAACCAACACGCAAGGAGTGACGAAAAAAGAGTGGCGGYGGAATGTAGCAGGTCGCCGTTGTCGACTTACCGTTGTCGACAATCACGTCGATCAGGTCCATGCTCTTGGCGAACGCGTCCCTGAGGTTGACGTGGTGGAAGGACACGATGCTTCCCTCGCGCTTAGCGCGGTCCAACGCCTCGCGCCGCTTGAGCGCCTTCTCTCGTCGCATCTGATTTTTATAGAACTCGGCAAAATTGTTGACAATAATCGGAATGGGCAGCGCAATGACCAGCACGCCACAGATACAACAGACGCCGCCGATGACCTTTCCCAGGGCCGTGGTCGGGTATATGTCGCCGTAGCCAACGGTGGTCATGGTGATGCCGGCCCACCAGAACGTCTCGGGTATGGACAGAAACTTGGTGCCGGGCTCCTCCTTCTCGGCGAAGTACGCCAGACTGGAGAATATCAGCACGCCCATGGCCAGGAACAGCATGAGCAGGCCCAGCTCTTTGTACGAGTTGCGCAACGTGAACCCGAGGCTCTGCAGGCCGGTGGAGTGACGGGCCAGCTTGAGTATGCGGAGTATGCGCATGATCCGGAATATCTGTATGACGCGGCGCACGTCGTCGAACTGGTGCGTGTCCGTTTTGTCCGTTTCGGCCACCAGTATCAGCGACACGAAGTACGGCAGTATGGCCAGCAGRTCGATGACGTTCAGGCCGCCCTTGAAGAACTTCCACTTGTTGGGCGACGCGCTGAACCGGAGCAGGTACTCGAGGGTGAACCACGTGATGCACACCAGCTCCACCATGGCGAACACCGGGTTGTCCTGGATCACCCCTTTCGTCTCCACTTGCAGCGACGGTATCGTGTTGAGCGTCAGCGCCACCGTCGACATAATGATGAACAGTATCGATATCACAGCTATCACCTGCGGGTTCACACACAAACAACCGCGTGCGGCTCCGGTCAGACTACGTCCGTCCACGAATACACGTGCTATACATTTTTGTTTCGGTTTCGCAGTCCTAACGATATATTATTATATTATCATATAWATAGGTGTATGGTCGACCGCAAACGCTGCAGTTATACCGCACGACAGAGCGTTTATGCGAGTCGTTGGGTTATGTCGTCAAGTCGTAGTGTGTCCTACCCATTATCTACATTTTGTTTTTCACATATTATAATACGTATACTGCGAGGTGCGTGGCGAATAGGTTGCGAAACTCAAGACAACCCTCCGTCCCGTTCGATGGTAGTTGTTCGAATCGTGTTTTATTTAAATGTCATGATTTTTGACGTTTTTCSGGTAGGTACTCGCGCGTGCCTGATTAATATAAATACGTATATCGTCATTTCAAACGTCAATGTTTTACGAGTTTACGACGTATACTGGAACGCTGTGATGACACAAACTTTTCGAATAAATAATGTTTCCATTATTTTTATGCGAGCTGTAAATCGAGCGTCTGCAGCTATAAGCAGTTCGTATACAAATTGGAGGTATACAGGGTGTATCAAGAAGTTGTGACATGTGGTTCATATGTCCACATGATATACAGGGTGTCCCACAGAGATCTGACATTCTGACAAATGAAATAACTTTTGTTCTAATAAATATTTTAAAAAAATTCCTTTTAATATAATTCATAGACACTTGCGC